TTTTTTGTCACAATCATGCCATGAATGTATTCTTTACGGTGACCATCATTTGATTAGATTTTCATTAATATTTTACATAACATGCACATTTTATCAACACTTAGACAGCTTCTGAAAGGTACAACTTTGAGGAGCCATAAAAAACAAACCAAGTGACCTAAATCTTTATACTTTATAGATTTGTGACCACAACGGCATGGGCAATGCACCACCAACAGGAAATTTGAATCAGAGAAGGGGCCGTTTTGGAAACCGGCCCTTACTGATAGCATGGTTGTTTTCAATTATGCAAATAGGTATATTAATTGTTATGGGGTGGGGATGTCAACCATCCTCAGACGTATGACCAAACACTAATGTGACAATTTATTACAAAATCGTTTTATAAGGTATGTATTATAGACCAAAATATTTGATACGGTTGATTTTTTTAAATGTTAAAATTGCTAATTATTTTCCTAACCTGAAAGAGTTGTCTCCCTTATATCACAAGTGACAATACAGACTATGACAAACTTGGATTTCTGTTTGTGGCCCTTTTGATGGCCCCAGATAATCAGTTCATCAGCAGATACTCTTTTTATAAAATAATGTTGCAAATTCACCACTTGGTTTCAGAGAAGCCTTTAGAAGTTTTATTCACACCTTGATCTCTTACAATTGGATGGCCTTGCCCATTTCAACCGAGGGAACAGTCCCTCCGTGAGTATAAATTGTGATCCTCGTCATTTAAGAATCATTTAAGCAAATTGATAAAAATCCACCATTTAGTTTCAGAGGAGAAGATTTTTGAAGGTTTTGCACTATGTGACCTCTTATGGACCCAGCACCTTACTGTTTCTGAGAAGAAATCGATAGTAAGTTCGTTTACGATCGACGCATGACGGACGAAAGGTGAGACTGAGTGACTTATATCGAGTGGATTTTTTTTCCCGGGGATAACGAAATAAAAAATACAAAAATATCCATGACAAAAGCTAAGAGATAGAGAGTTAATACAAACCTGTAAGAACGATATTTAGGTAAGAAATTAAAAGTGAACAAAAAACGTTACATTAATCTGAGAAAATGGAAAAAAAAAATTTGTCATATAGTAGTCTATTATTACTAGCAAATTTGAGAAAAATCGACTTTCCTAAATTATAACGACCATGCAAAAAACTATGAAATAGACAACAAATATGTTTTGATGTATATTATTATGTATGATTTTACAAGCAACAGCAATATATATATATCTTAAATGAATAGTTCATATATTAGTTTCTTTATTTCAGAAATAAGTCATGTTGAAATATCTTAACATCGGATGATGCTATCTATGCATAATAAGTTAAGATCACTTTTAAACAAGCTCACACCAGTCTTTTTTTTTTGTAATTGTTTTATTTTTCCAAATAAATCATCATCATCATCATCATCATCATCATCATCATCATCATCATCATCAATGTCATATAACCGTCATCATTCAAATCAATGTCATATAACCGTCATCGTCCACATCAGTATTAATCATTGATCACATCATAATCCTCCTCAATCAACTTTCAACATTCATCATCATCAACATCAACATCATCATCATCATCATCATCATCATCATCATCATCATCATAATCATCACCCCCTTTCAACTTCCTCATCAACTTTATCTTTCCTTATCATTCACGTCAATCAAGTAATGATTAAATCATAAATGTCAACAATTAACTTTCAGCATTCCTGATCATTAAACTATCATCTTCATCATGATAACTTTAATTAATTCATCTATGTCATTATCATTAATGTCAATCCTTGTCAACAATTATACATCATCATCCTCATCAATTAAAAAAACCATCATCAATATTACCATTGCTGACCTCAATATCATGATCACAAACAACATCCCCAGTTTTTTTTAATAATATCCTCATTAATTATCAAATCAAATTACGTATATTGCTGCTGATAATTTTTACATATATGTATAAACAAAAAAAAATGAAATATACAGACAAACGTCCCCTTTATTTTCTTATAGTCTTTTATTATAATATCCCTTATTTTTTGTCTACTTTACTATTCCAAGGAAGGTTGTAGAGGTCTTAGTTTAGTCTTTTAATGAATGATAAGTCAGGATTTAGCAAAGCTATGAAAAAGTGGTTGAATTGTGATAACAGCAATGATTTGATTATGTGTATTTTACCAATAGGAGTAAGTTTCCTTTAATTCCAGTCATTTAGGATCACTGATGTAGCATCTGCATATTGAGATAATAGTATAGGAATGTCTTCAATTTTATATTCCTCTAATATTAACATTATTTCTTATTCTAGTTCCTAGTACCTCAGCGCATAAAATAAATAAATATGGAGAGATGGGATCACCTTGGCGACACCCACGTTAAATATTGAAAAACGAAGACAAATTTCCCCCCTGATTAACAGATGAGTTAAAACCACTTTGAACAATATGGACCCATTTCCTTATATCTTTCCCAAAATAAAAAAATCAAGCACTTTATCAATAAATTCCCAACTTAACGAATCAAAGGCTTTTTCAAAATCAACATTCAGTAGCATACCTGGAATATCATTTTCTTTAGCACAGTGCATAATATCGTATATAATTCTGGTATTTTCACCAACATGCCTACATGAAATAAAGCCAGACTGTCACACCACAGTCTTAATAAAACCACAGTAAAAACACCATCATTATACAGCTGTTTTGGTTCGGAAGATTTAACTTAATGTGCTTATGAGACATGCATTATAGTTTATCAGAAAACAATTTAGTTAAAAGAAAACGCCGAAATATGGCCAACTTACAGATCCAGCATCACTGTGGGCCGGATGAGCTTAAAACAGTGTATTTTCTTCAAAGATACGAATACAACCGTTAAAGTTTTTGAAAGTTCCATAAGTGTATATTTGGTACACATACCTTTCATTCTCGGTTTCAGTGCATCCCTCTCCGGTGGCAAACGGCTCCCTAAACCTGATTCGGAAAATAATGTTTTCTTTTTTAACATTTCTTTTAAAAATTGAACACGGTATTATGGTAGCAGTATAGTTCTAGTACAGTAGCTTGACAATGGCTTGACCCTAAAAAAGGGCATGTCTCGGATAAACATGGATGGCGGATTCATCCTGCACAATACACCTACATATATATATATATTTATAAACTACATTTTGAATACGTTTTTTTAGAAGAATGATTTTTCTTTCAAAAAGTGATTTCCACAGATTTGAGACTTGTGAATACCATGGCTACTACATAAAAAAACGCCAAAAAGTGCAAAAAAACCCAATGATTATTAACCCAAAATTTGACCCACGCAAGTAGTACTTTTTTCTTAAAACCTGTCTTAAATTAAATATCACCTACTCGGTAACAGAAATACTCACGTTTTAGCATAGGTCGTTCAACTGGATTTTTAACAATATTTACACATGTGCTGAGTACAAAAATAGACTACATGCAAAGCTAGCTTGTGTTGTGTAGGGTAGCAGTATACAGTAGAAATGGCCCGACTCTGTTAAACAAGGCACATGTCGAGGAAATGTAAACACAGCGGATTTAACCTACACAACACATGTATCCATGTATATATATATGTAAACTGCATTACATTTGCAATACATATAAAGTACTGAGAATTGTATAAACCTCTTTTTTCTATGTATGTCTCTTGTGTGAAAACCATGGTTACCACATCAAAAATTACCAAAAAATGCCAAAAAATGCTATTTTTAACCCAAAATTTGACCCCCGCAACTAGTAATTTTTTTCCTAAGCTCTGTCGAAATTAAAGATTACCTACCTGGTTGCAGAATTATCTGGGTCCCAGTAAAGTTGTAAAACTTGATTTTTTGCAATTTTGCGTCGTGTGCTGTTGTCAAAATTTTACCTCCTGTAAAGCTAGCTTTTCATGTGTACGCACCCTTTCGTATTATGGCCAAAATTTTATTCTCGAACCAAAGAAATCTTCTTTCTTTTTTACAAATGTGAAGCTCACATAGCCCACTTCATCATGCTTATACCAATTTTAGTACAGTTTTATTTTTATATTTTTTTTACATATCATTATACAGGGGTTAGCCATTTAACAAAAATATCACCCATGGCCCTCTACTGTATACTGCTACCTAGATACAGATTTGTAAATGGCCATAAATGTAGTCTCAAACCAAATATTTTTTTTTTTTATTTAAATGTGAAGCCCACATAGTCCAATGCATGTATATGCCAATTTTAGAGCTGATTTTTTTAAAATGTTTTGATACATGTACTATTACAGGGGTTATTCATTGTACGAAAATATTACCCATGGCCACCGTACGCTACTGTACACTGCTACATGTACCTATTTATAAACTTGTTTCGTGTCTTTACAGTAAGCAAACAAAGCAATACCTCCCAGGTGGTCAGACCAACCTTTAACTGTTTCCTGAAGCAGCAGAACTTGTCCGTTTCACTGTGTTTATGAATGACATTATTTCTAATGCTTAAAACCGACGGATTATGATAAATATAAGTGTGACACATATTCTCACTTAGTTGTTAATTAGATTGTATATGATCATCAGTATACTACTTGAAACCACCTACCTATAATGGTAAATCAAATACAGGTTTGTTTCAGCTTGGTAACACATCGGAGACCATGATAAGGACTTAAGAACGGATTTTCCCATTAGGAATGTATCTGCTCGCGCTAGGCGAGATAATGAACCGGAACGACAATTAATGATTATTATTGGTGAAATATACAGAGCAGTAGTATTTTGCTTAATATAGTAAATATGTATTGTACAATGACCAGTTTATGCTGAAGGAATATATATCCTTTATGACATTTTAACCATTGTTTTTCATTGGAAATGTCTTCCTTTGTATGGATTTCAAACCAAGAAAATAGAAATAAATTTACTCCTTTTACCCAATAACCGATTCATCTTACACTATCAAAACCAAGGATATTTCTTTTGTTCATTACTTACTGGCATATTTCTAATTTTTTGACGGGCATAAACAAACACACACAAACAGAAATGAAAACTAGCATATTACAGGTCTATTTTGGAACTACTATGGAATGTCATTGATCTCTTTTCAATTTTCAATTTAAAACTCATTCTACAATCTATTGGTATATTTTGCTGTACATGTTAGTATTGTGCTACCATTTCTAGACTTATTATAATGGGAATAAAATATGAAAAATAATTACCTGACAAACTCTCATGTATTTCTCTTTCAGCCTCGTTAATCATATGAAGAAGTTGCTCTTTTCCTCCAGTCGTACTTTGTACAAGTGTTTTTAGATTCTCGAGCTTATCCCAGCCAATATCTCCGTGTCCTTCCAAATTCTCACATATCTTTAGAAAGGGGAGGTCTTCATATTCACCTGGACCAGATAGAAAGGCTGAAGCCTCAGTTCTGAAGTTCTCGAGATTATTGACCGTGTTGTCGGTGTAATATGCATTTTTCATTCTGGTCTTGAGGCGAGTGTATATACCTTGTGGAGACGATGCCATTTCTAAAACATTTATTTCCTATTCTGCAATCTGTAATTAATAAAAAAAAGACCAGCACTATTGATTTGAGAAAGTGTTACCAGGACCATGTAACAACCTTCCATATAAAAGTCGAAACGTTTAGATTTTGCTTTGCAGTGTTATGCTATTACTCATGCGAAAGTTCTATTAATATATTTACGACATTCACGCATTAACGTTACATGTATTGGAAATTTGAACAGGTTTTCTTGAATATCTGTGGAGAATATAAATATACATTTTGCCCATATGATACAAGTGTTGTTCGCGTTAGTATATCAGTGTCTTTGCTTATAAACAGTTTTTACACCAACCCGGGCGGGACATTCATGTACCAGCCCGGGTCGATAAGCAGTTATCGGCCCGGGCTGATATCACTTCATCCGGGTTCTTCACCGGGTTTTACGTTTAGATGCTTCAACAACAACAATATGTTTTTGTTTTTCAAATGTATGATAAAAAGGTTATGATATGACTATTTTGCAGCCTTTATCAGCCCTTGAAGTAATATCAGGCTGATAAAGGGTGAAATATCAAAATATTGCGTTTAATAATCGTTTTTTAAATTAACATTTTTACATACTGTTGTTAACCTCATTACTGGAAGTTGTAGCAGTCTACATATGCTGTGTTATTATTAGTAGAACCCCTTACATCGTTACTTATGTTTGTGTCCTTGTTTGCTGCAACTGTGACGATCCATGTTTGTAAGAAACAAGAATATGTCATATGTGATTGGAAGGCAGGAAGCACAACTTATTATATCCATCAAGTATAAGAGGCAAAGTAAATTATTAACCATTTTGCCCCCATTGCATGATTGTAAGAAGCGACAAAATTTGGGATCTTCTTCCTAATGTCTCCCTTGACAATGCCTCACATTTGGCTATTAGTAGAGCGTTCGCCCCTGTGAGGAACGCTTTGGGTTCTGTCCCCTGGCCGAGACATACCAGAGTCTGTAAAATGGTAGTTTCTACTCCTGCTTAACGCTCAGCAATTTAGGAGTGGGACGACTGGTTCGCCCGTTGTCAGTATAATGTGAGGGGAGGCCGTCCTTAAAAAAAACATACCTGTTGATAAGTTATTTATTAGGAAGTTTTCAATAAATGATAATACAACTAAAACGAAGTTTCCAAATACCATTGATTGATTAATACACGGCGTTTTACGGTATAGGTTACTGGGGAAATATCACAGTCAGACATTCACAATATTGCTGTCAAATACTACTGATAACATAACTGTTCTAATCATATATATTAACAAAACAAACAATATCGCAAGCTGATGACTACATACATGTACCTTACCTTAGATACCAGGTTTGTGTACCCCTCAAAAGCTGAACAATATTCGTGACGACGCCATCTTAGTGTCACTTTTTGAACTCTGTTTACTTGTGTACAGAACTGACTGGCTCAATCTGGTTAACACTGTAAGGTATGCCAATAGCATTCGGGTAGGATACACTGGGAGACATATCCTCTAAAACATCTATTCTATGTCCTATTTCTCTATTTTAGAATCTAGTTATGGAAAAACAATCTAGTTTACTTAAACTACCATCTAACTTTACAGAACACAACCTATATTATAAACCCATTGTCTAACTTAATGAAGGACATCTATGTTGTAAATCCATGGACTAAATTATGATGACGTTGTCTAAATCATTAGAGCAACATCTACATTTTAAAACCATGTCTAGATTATCGGGCCATGGCCTAGTTTCAGGAACATGCCCTAATTTTCAGGAGCATAACACCTAATCTTAGATTAGACCTTGGTACCCGAAATTTGGGCCATGGCTCCCGAACATAAGGTGATGGTCTACTCACCCACTACCTCTGTATTTCCTGTGATGTATCCGCTCACCAGTGAGGCCAGTACTGGTAAAGCAGTTTGTGATCATAGCCCTATTGTAGCTATACAGACAGTACATGTTTGTTTTTGTACAAAGAACTGACAGGTGAAATTACAGATTAAATTAACTCTTATTCTGGTCAGTGTGACATTTATGTAGATATTGGACAGGTATTTACTAAAACTTAAATAAATTTAGTCCACAAAAACAGTTTATTTTGGGTATTAAGAAAACAGATTATACATAATGAACAACTAGTATATGTATTTGGGAATTAATTTTGTTTGTTGTTACACAAGCACTCTGAAAAAAATAATTATTAAAAATAATAATAGAATGTATATCCGTCTATAAGCACAACGACAACATAATGGCTATATTTGATATTGAATACATATATATATAATTAATATTGAAATATGTTTTATTTTAACATTGTTATTAAAAGTCTGAAAATCGTATATGACGATTAATAAATTAAATATGATCAGCTTCAAGCTTAGAAATACTGACAATACTACTCAGAAGCAGACTATACTCATTTAAACATTATTTTTCTCTCCATGTTTTTTTAAAAATGGGAGCATAAGCCCAGCTTCTATATAATTATTACCAGGTAATTTTTCCAAATGGTACAGCCCACTCCTGTTTGGTGGGGGTGGTCACCACACAGAACAATTAGCTCAGGTAAAAACAAAGACCAGGTGAGCCCTAGCTATAACCCTGAGGGGTGTTTTCAGTTCCCCTACTTTTTATGGAACAATGAAAAGTGTTGATATAGGAAGACAATGGCAAACCAATTTTAGTCTGTTTCATACTTACTCCACAGTTAACTTACCTGTGTGAAAGTTGCATGTCTGACTTGGAGCTTTTTTGTGTATGTGATATGTTAGGTAAAGGATATTAATTTTTTGGATATAATTTTTTTAAGTTTTAATATTTGTTTAGGGGTATGAAATTGATAAAACTAAATAATAAACACTTATTCCTTCAAAACATGTCTAACTTGGAGCTTTTCTGTGTATGTGGTATGTTAGGTTAAGGATATTAATTTTTTGGATATATATTTTTTAAGTTTTAATATTTGTTTAGGGGTATGGAATTGATAAAACTAAATAATAAACACTTAATCCCTCAAAACATGTCTGACTTGGAGCTTTTCTGTGTATGTGGTATGTTAGGTTAAGGATACTAATTTTTTGGATATATATTTTTTAAGTTTTAATATTTGTTTAGGGGTATGGAATTGATAAAACTAAATAATAAACACTTATTCCCTTAAAAGGACTACTGCATATTTTTATCATATACACATGATACAATCATTACATACATGATGTACAATACAAATATAACAATAAAGGGCTGAATATAAGTTTAATAACTTGTGCCCAATCCGTTTGCATGACAATACAATATGTTTAAACTAAAATATAACAATAACAAAATAGTAAGGGTTTACATTCAAATATATCAATACGTATACGTTACGTTTCATTTACATTACACTTTTTAAGCCATCAAATACAAGACAAGCTAATATATATATTTAAAGAGCTATGACAGAAAACTGCCCAAATTTCCACAAGTCGGCATTTATGAATACATGAAACAATCAAAATCCTTCTTTGTCTGTTTGGGAAAGTGCTTAAAATAATGAAAAACATGGTTAATTAAGTTTCTCAAAACTGAGAAAGGTGCTTATTGGGTTAAAACGGATTGTATTTCCATACTAGTGTATATCCGATGTAGCCGAATGTGTAACACCGTTTACTTTTGACCAGAGGAAGCGAACGGTGCAAGTTCGAATTCTGGTTCAGATTTACTTTTTTTTTAATATTTAGGAATGTGATCCTTTTCCTTAATTAATTAAATAAAGAAATATTTTTCAAATCAATGGACAATTCTATTGGTATTTTAATAACATACATATTGATATATCTTCTAAGGAATCATGTCATAAAATTCCTGTACATGTGTACAGTACATCTACCCTTTGTAGATAAGACATAATTTTAGAAGATATTTATGAATTGTTTTACCCTCCAATTGGCACTAGTTATTTTATTTATTACTTAAACACAAACAAATAAAGCCGAGATAAAAAATATGTGGGATTGTTGCATCATAATAAAAAAGGCCACCAAAAAAATGGACTGTTATTATCGCAAATATACACTACAGTCCGACAGTCAAGTGTCACACAATTTTTGTTGTAAATTATCCAAGATGTTAGAGATGTGATGCTGCGTTCGTGTACTCCATAAAGTCCATCGTCCGGTTCTCAAGGTGTGCTTAGATAAACTCATCGTTATCTCACTAATTAGTATAGGCTTGATCACTTTTAGTTCACCAGGACGGAAATGATAGCTTGGCTAATTAAAGTTATTAAATAATTCTGATGATAGTTATGACATACTTCTAACATCTAGGAATTTAGATTAATTCTTTTTTAAAGTTAAATTATCATATGTCATATCAGCAGCACTAGGACTACAGATTATAAATTGATTATATATTATTAATTTGTATGTAATTAATATAGAAATATTTTAAGATTTTAACATTTGTTATTAAAAATCTGAAAAAATCTTTATATAAGATGATGTATTATTAAATTGAAAATTAAATATGATCAGCTTTCAGCTTAGATAGAACACCACCTAAGATAGAAGGGTTAACCACAGGTAAAAGCACAGGTAAATACAGGTAAATACTACCAATACTACCAAGAAACAGATTATATTCCTTCTAACAACATTCTTCTCCCCATGTTTTTTAAAAAAATGGGGGAACTGAGAACAAGCCATTCCTGATTGGACACTGCTGTCTGAACCATGTTAGATACTGGTCTAGGCTTTTTACTTTTTCTAGGGTCTATATCTTGATTTTTTTCTTTCTATGTTCTATTTTTTGATTTTTTTCGTTTCTTGTTTATAAGTAAAATACCCGAGTGGATGAATATATTTTTTTTTTTTCATTTCAACAAATTTTATTGACAAAGTTGATACAAGTCAATTGGATGGAATAACAGGCAAAGCCTATATAAATACTCTCCAGCGGTGGCTAAATTAACGGATTCTATTATTTTTATTTGATTTAATTAATACATCAATTTTGAAATGAAAATTATAAAAAAAAAAAT